AAAAAAAAAAAAAAAAGAAAAAAGAAAAAGATGGAATAGGAATTTAAGAACGCAATGGCAGCCACGTGTCATGATAAATAGTGCCGAAAATTAGGCGGCTATTAATTCAAATGAAATGGATCGGCGGAAACTATGTAATGGCGTGCATGCACTTTGCTCACGCGATTTGCTGCACGACTTGTCCAACGTGTTGATTTTTTTGCCACGACCTAATAATTATTGCGACACTGAAGTCTCAAGGAACGTGCAATTAGAAGTAATGAAAGAGCGAGAGGCAATAACTTAACTTGGAGGAGAGCCGTGAAAATTGACGTGTTAATTTATCAAGTTCATTCTTATTAATTTGCACGACAAAATTGGCATTAACTTCTTCTTCTTCTTCTTCTTTTTTTTTTTGGTATTTCGAAAATTAAAAAAAATTGCAAATTACTCGAGGAACAATTAAAATTGTGAGAAAGAAAAGTTTCGGGGGAAAAAAAAGAAGAAGGAACGTTAAAGTATTTCGAAGCAACATCTCATTCTCACAAGACGAAGTAATGAAAGAGAAGAAGCGTGATGAAACGTGTCTTTACGAGCGCAAATAAGAGGAGAAAACGAATCTTTAACCCTTTAAGTGCCAGAGCTATAGCAGTCGGTCAGGACACAGTGATCATTTCCGAACATAAGGGAGTACTTAAATCCCGCTAAGTACACATCTGCGGTCGAACATTTGTACAAACTTATTCTTACGATTTCGTATTTATCAATATGTGTGTTAAATCGTATACGTCAAGATTTCCAACATATTGTCGAAACAAGGGCAAATTTCTTCGTTCAATTTCTCGATGCGAAGTCACTCGTTTATTATCGAAAACTCGAACACTGAATATATATATATATCTTTCTTCAAACTCGTCCACTAAATATCTTAACAATTTTCTAATATGTAGAATTATAACTATATATATATATATGTGTGTGTGTGTGTGTGTGTGTGTGTATTGCATTGTTGTAAGTACATCATATCATTACTTTTTTGTACAAGTATTCGAGAAACGTGTTTAAACGCGCACACATAATACCGGCTTGGCACCGAAAGAGTTAATTATGACAAAGATGGTATCCCGTGGGCAAGCAGAGACTTGTTTACTACCTGTCAGTCATCGGCGTATTAAAACCGGCGTCGTGACGGGGCAACAACACCGATGTAGAGAAAGAGACGTGTGTTAAAGAACGTTCTTATGGAATCAGCGGTGGGCGTTAATACGTGGCCACCAGTCGTTTCTCTTTCTCCCTTTCATCGCGAGCCTAACACGAGATAGTTGAACTGTCAGTCAAACGTTCGATAACCAATGGTCGACGATCCCTACCTACACTACCAACACGCCGGTGGAAGAATCATTTTCATGCGAAGAGGGCGTAGCAAAAACTACAAGAGGCCACCGCTGCCGACGGCGCCGATGCCTCACTGCTGCGCAACGCTCTACCTATAGGGTGGCTCGATAAAATTTCTGCGGGAAATTCGAGTCCCTTTCGCTACTTCTTTCGCTACAAATTTACCCGCTGCAATTCAATGCGAAAATGGCACTCGATTCACTGTTACCACGTTCATTGTATTATCCATCGGAGAATTGATGCGCAA